TAGGTTAAGGGGTAGGGGTAGGGGTAGGGTTAGGATTAGGTTTAGGGTTAGGTTAAGGGTTAGGATTAGGTTTAGGGTTAGGTTAAGGGGTAGGGGTAGGGGTAGGGTTAGGGTTAGGGTTAGGGTTAGGTTTAGGGTTAAGTTTAGGATTAGGTTTACGGGGGTTAGGTTTAGGTTTAGGGATTAATTTTAGGTTTAGCGTTTACAGCGTGCTTCTGTCTCCGCGCTCTTGTCGCCCTGTGATGACGTCAGCTACGCAGTTTCGTCGAGCGCACTTTAGTCGAACGCGGTTTTGTGGTGGAACCGTTTTTCAGACCTCCTTTTGGATGGGGAAAAAAAAAGGAGGGGACTGATTTAGAGACGAATGGCTTTATGCTCAAATACCTGTAGAAAGGCAACATTGCGTGGAATTATAGGAATAAGCCATATCTATTCCATATTGAAAGATCCCCTTGGAAACATTTTTCTGACGCAGGAATGTCTCAGAGGGTGAAAACGTGTTAAAGAGACCCAGACGAGAATAGCATAAGAATGTCCCAAAGATGCTTTTTCAAGAGTCAACTCTTGAACTTTGAGTTTTTTCTTTGAAGACATTTCATTTCTCATCCAAGAAGTGGCCGAGAAGCAAAACGTCCTCAACGAAAAACCCAAAAGTCCAGTTGCCTCTTGAAAAAGGGGACAACCATGACTTGAATGACTGAGAATCTCCATAGACATAAGTAAGGAATGGCATCACCTAGTCGTCCCATTCCAGATTAAATGCTTTGCGTGGAACCAGCCTTAGAGGTATGAAAAAGTCTCAATGACCAGAGGAGAAAGACCTGATTGATCTTTGGCTGGCTGGATAATGAGGGGAGCATCGTTGAGACCCCCTGCCTGGATTCCAGGATAGAAATAAGGCCGAAGGGTCTCAGAGAAGGAATCCAAGAAGGTAAAGATGTGGGAGCCGGTATCACCGTTATAGAAAGAAACCTCTCCTGCTTCGTAGTCCAGGAAGATACCAATCAGCTTTGGCTTTGCTCTGAGCACCAATTCTGTGAGCGAAGAGGTAAGTGCTGCATACTCATCCCCATTCCTCAGCCATATTGTCCAGAACCCTGTTGCTGGCGAGGGGGTGAAGATACCTTGGCGGCTCACTGATTCTTTGCACACTCCCAGTGTCCAGCTGGACTTGCCTTCCACGCACACCACCCAGTAATGTTTCCCGAAGGTGAACTGCTCACGGCCCATTAAACAAGTGCAGGTTTCGAAGCGAGATGAGTTCTTGGGCAGATCTTGCCTTTGATCCACCACTCGAACGCTGAGGAGGTCCTCGGATAAGAGCAGGTAAGGATTAGCTGTATCCGGATCAAAGGTCACCGATGCTGAAAGCAGAAATAGAGATCATCAGGGCTGCTCTAGATTTTTCCAGCCGTAGCAAAGGAAGGGATATGTTTTGGGCCAGACTTTTAATTTGCCCCTCTCTGCCCCCCAATGATCTTGTGATGCTAGGAGGGAGACCTGTCCAAATCCCTGAGATCCATGGTCAAGTTGAGAACTTGAACACATCACCGAATCCAATACATTAAACCAGGGGTGTCAAAGTTGATTTCATTGAGGGCTGCATCAGAGATCTGTTTGACCTTGGGAGGGGGGCAGGGTGAGCTTGACATTGCTCATGTCAGCCCCCCGAGTCCCCCAAAGAACTCTGTCAGTGAAAACAGGATCCCGACCTTTGTTTTTGACTACGACAGCCTCTTGCAACCCTTTCCCAGTGAAAAGAGCAAGGAAGTGCCGTCCATAGCCCTCTTGACCTCTGTTTTCAGCTGCAATGGCCTCCTGCAGCACTCTGTCAATGAAAATAGGAGGCCCACGGGCCACCCTCCCAAATTCTGTTTTCACTGGCAGAGGCACTGCAGGTCAGCCCTTCACTGTTTCCAGCCAAATCTAAGCATCCTGTGGGCCGGATCCAGTCCCTGCACCTTCAGTTTGACACTCCTGCATTAAGCCCAGCATGACATAAGCACCTCTCAATTACCACTGTATCTTTGTAATGACTCCATCAAGCCAGGAACATCATAGGAGTCTTGCAATTCCATCGAAATTGGTGGTGGTTCTTTCAGGGATAGTTCTTCACTCCTGGGAAGAAATAGGAACAGCGCTTAGACTTATAGACGATTTCACATAGAGCTTTACAGCCCTTTCTAAGTGGTTTACAGAACCAGCATATTCCCCCCAACAATGTGGGTCCTCAATTATCCCACAGGAATTAAAAGCAGGTCATTCTCAAGAATTTGTTTAGCAACTGTTCAAACTTATGGTAGCCCTGAAACAAACATCTCCTAACCCTTATGATTACTGTAGCATCCCCACGGTCCTGTGATCAAAAATTCTGGCTCTTAGTAACCAGCATGTATTTCAGAGGTAGCATTCAGCAGGTTCTGACCAGTTCTGGAGAACCGGTAGCGGAAATTTTGAGTAGTTCCGGAGAACTGGTAAATACCACCTCTGACTGGTCCCGCCCCATCTATTCTCCACCTCCCGAGTCCCGGCTGAACAGGAGGGAATGGGGATTTTACAGCATCCTTTCCCTGCCATGCCCACTAAGCCACGCCACTCCCACCAAACCACGTCCACAGAACCCGGTAGTAAAAAAAAATTAATCCCACCACTGATGTATTTATACAGTTGCAGCACACCAGGATCATGTGATCACCATTTGTGACCTTACCAGCTGGCTTCCAACAAACAAAGACAATGGGGGGGGGGAGCCAGATTCATTTAACGACCTCATGATTCACTTAACGATGGCAGTGATTCATTTCATTGTCACAAAAAGGATTGTAAAATTGGTCACAACTCACTTAAAAAATTGCCTTGCTTAGCAACAGAAATTTTGGGTCAATTGTAATCC